GCTCTATAGAGAGATTTTTACAGACTGGATCAATGTTCTGAGGACAATTGCATGAGGTTCATTAAAGCAAAATGCTACAACTCCCTGCACTGTTACAGGGAGGAGGAAGAGTAGCTGGAAAGCTGCTCAGCAGAAAGGGAGATGGGAGTACTGGTCAACAGCAGCTGAACATGAGCCAGCATGTACCGTGGCCAAGAAGGCCAATGACATCCTGGCCTGTGTCAAAAATAGTGGCAGCAGGACTAGGGAAGTGATTGTCCCGCTACACTTGACACTGGTGAGACCACATCACAAGTGCTATGTCCAGTTCTGGGCCCCTTACTTCCAAAAGGATATTGAAATGCTGGAGCATGGCCAGAGGAATGCAACAGAGTTGGTGAAGGGTCCTGTGAGTAACTGAGGTGACTGGGGCTGTTTAGTCTGAAGAAGAGGAGACTCGGGGCAGCACCTGAGTGCTCTCTACAACCATCTGAAAGGAGATTGCAGTGAGGTAGGGGTTGTTCTGTTCTGCTGTATCAAAAGAGTGCATCAGGGGAGGTTCAGATTAGATATTTAGGAAAAAAAAATCACTGGAAGAGTGGTCAGGTGTTGCAATAAGCTGCCCAGGGAAGTTGATGGGGCCTCATCTCTGAAAGTGTTCAAGAGGTACTTGGATGTGGCACTTGGGGATACAGGGGTGGTTTTGATGGTGCTGTGTTGACATTGGACAGATGGTCTTTCCAACCTTCTTGTTTCTGTGATTCTATAGGCTTCAGTTTTAGATTCACTGGTTCAGATCTTTACTAGCCTATGTGTCGACCTCATACTCTCTGTTATTCTGTGTAAATGTGCTTAATCTTTCAGCCAGGTGATTTTGAGATTTTTATGTATTAAAGCATACAGTGTTGCCTAAATTAAAAGAGAGAATGTACTAAAATTAATACCTCAGTAATTTTTATATTTTAAAACCAAAAATATCTGTAAAAAATATGGAAGTAGAAATATTTTTCTTGAGAGGCAACATGCTACATAGCATAATCCTTGCTCAATTGTAGTGATTCATGGTAAATAAAGTCTATACTTTTCAATCACAAGTGTGAGCATAACTTTCTCAGCATCCCCGCAAACCAGTCCTCAATGGGGTGCATTCTTAATTTTATGAATTTCTGTATTTTCTGCTGAATGCTTTTCTAAATTTTCACCTGCATTGCAATGGAGACCACTAAAATCTGATTATCATTACTGAAGGCACCATCCTAGCTTGAAGAGATTAAATAATTTTGCCTTTGTACAATATTTTCTCCAAAACCTGGTTAACACTGTCAACTTAGAACCACCCTACTGGGGAATTTGCTGGGAAGGAAAATATGATTTAAGATTTAGACTCCATTACTATGCTGATTATTCACAGCAGTGAAAATTTATACCCAGCTTGATATGAAATATTTAGTTTAAGGATTTTGTCCATAATGAGACACAAATATATGATGAACTGTAACATCAGTGTCTTTCAATTTGTAATGATTTTACTAGGCCAGGGTCCTATGTAGTCCTCTACCAATAGAGAATAGAAGTCCGTGAGAGCTAAATGACCTCTCCATGTCCTACATCCCTTCTCTGTAGCTAAGAAATGATTCAAACTTCTCCTTTGACTGCTTGAGGTTTGTTCATGAAAAGCAGTCTCTAAAACCATATTTAAAGAGGAGCTCATAAACTCTCTGAGAGTTTTAGTCCTCCAAGCTCAGTCTTTTGCAGCTTCAGGCCTCAAAGCATTAGATCTGAACATGGAGATGGGATGTGCTCCATTTCAGGGTCCATAGGTTGTGTGTGTAGGTGTGCACATAAGCATTCTGTCATGCTCTTCATTCCTGGGAGGAGGCTGCTTAACTGCTTTTGTCCTCTCTGAAAAAAATCAGTTTAACACATGAGACCACATAAAGGGGGTTTAAAGTGTTGGGAAGAGTTTGAACTTGTCCCCTGTAAGACATCTTTGAAAAGTGCTGTCTGAGGAAGCTGCTGGAAATCTGACATCTGCTTGGATTATTCACTCCCTTGATTAACCAGGAGCAGCAGATATGTTCTCTTTGTAGCTCTGCACTGAATGGAATTTAATAGAGCCTCTCTTGAACCTCAAGTTTACATCTGATATAAAATTCAGCAGTCATTTGTATACATGGATGCCCATATGTAATTCCATAGGCATTGATTTTTGTTATTTTTCTTGTTGCTGTTATTAATTGTCTGCTTCCACCACGTTATCTTTGTGGCATGATTTGAATCATCCAAATCCAGTGTGGAACAAATTGACCAAAATGAGACCTATAAAAGCTAGTAGCACTCCTGGATTACTGTCTCCCCACCTTGTTAGCTTACAAAAGAACAACAACAACAAAAAAAAACCAACTCAGAACTTAGAATTCACTTACAAATTATCCTCATGTAATTGCGGAAGGATCCAAATTTCAAAGGTCACTCATCCTTGAAATCAGTACAATTGATTTTTTTCTATCTTGCTGTCAAAAAACATATTTATGTTTCTGAGACAGGACCTGATAAACTTTCTCTCTGAAGCAATATTAAATAATAGTGCTCAATGGGTAGATTTACAAAACAAAATTTCAGACACTGGTACATTGATTACAGGTAATGCAGCATGTCATCACAAACATGGTAAAACTCCTGACATGTATCGCTGAAAGTTGTCTTATATAGAACTAAGAAATGTTTCAATGCTGATTTGCCTGATATCACATACTACATAAAAATATGTCCTCTTTTTTATGTAGATTACTGATGGAGACCAGAATATAAAACACTGGTGGAAAAAAAAAAAAAAAAGGAAAGAAAAATACCTAGATATTAGGAAGTTCTTTAATGTGAGGGTGATGAGACAGTGCGACAGGTTTCACTAAGAAGTTGTGGATGTCTCATCCCTGGAAGTGTTCCAGGTCAGCTTGGATGGTCTCATGAAAAGTCTGCCCAGGGCAGGGGGCTTGGAACTAGGTGACCATTAAGGTCCCTTCAAACCAAAACCATTCTATGGTTCTATGATCTATAGCTTTTCTATCAATGGAATGATAGAAAAAATATAGAATGATAAAACTAGGATGATAGACTGAAAAATTAGGAATGATATTGTAAGTGGATTTTCAATTAATGTTACCACTCAAGTAAACAGATATTTATGAAATCTGTTCCTTGTCTTGTGGATTAAACACCAAGGCCAAAATTCTGAAGAAGGGGTGAATGTGATTGATTATTTATTGCTAAGTGTCAAATTCTCACTAAGTTTGACCAAAATCACATGCAAATTTTGAAGCTTACCCATTGAAAGAATCATCAAAATCATGGCATGCTGTCAGACATGTGAAAATAAATAAGTATATAGGGGAGGTTTCTTCAAATGTAAAATGAATACAAGTGCAAAACATCCCCTTTCAACAATTTCCTCAGTCATTCTGACTGAGGTCAGAATGCTCATTCAGATCTCAGCAGCAGATTCAAGCTGCAGCTCTGCCATGCTGTAAATCCTCTGCTCCTCCACCATGTTCCACTGTGGTCCTGCAGCAGCAGCAATATTATCAGCAGCAATATAATTTCTTCTTTCTTTAAATAATTTGTTAAATGCTGCTGTAACTACTCATAGAATGAACACTGACCACAGTTTCTGCTTAAGGATCCAGCTGGAGTAGACCGTGAAGGTACTCATTTAATGACTGTCAATAGGGATGAGTTTGATTCTTATTTTACACAACTTTAGTTGTCTCTAGTTCTAATTATCTAAAGCACAAAGCAATGGAAGAATATTTTTTCCACATATGTATAGCTACATACCATAGACATAGTCACATATAGTAATACACCAGTAGAGTGTTTATGCAAAGTTTTTTCTCCATTACCTTAGGCAGCTAAATCATGTATCCAGGACAGTATCAGAAAGACTTAAATGTAACCTTTAGAAACATTTTTTGTTTGTTTGTTGGGATTTATATGGGATGGGTGCTCTGCAAACTAGTTTTCTGTTAAAATAGTATGATACTTGTGGATTTATTCTGTTTGCGCAAATGTGGAACAACAATCTTTCTTTGAGGGGTTAATCAGAAAAAAAGTACTTATTATAGCAGCCACAAAACCTCAAGCAATTTTTGTTTCAAATGAGTTATTCCACCACCCAAAACCCAGCAATTCTGTATTCCCTGAAGCACTTCGTGTTTTTTCTAAGCAGTCTCTCAGAGGATTTTCTTACCAGTTTTCCAGAGCTGATTCTTGTAAGGGCATAGACTGTAAACAAAGGTCTGTAACTGCTGTGCAAAAGTGCCTTTATTTTCTCTTTTTCATTCCTTTGGCCAGAACATTTCATTGCTGACAATTGCTCAGAGCTACTGTACTCACTTGTCAAGTTGTGCTGGTTTTACCTTATATTTCAAAATAGTTTTGCTTCCCAACAATACCAATATAATTTAAAATCATTCTCATAAACGTTGTGGACCAATTTTCTTTAGCTTGCCTGCATAGCTAAACCTTATGAATGGAATAGGGAACTATGAAAGAAAAATGGATTTGGGTACTGAGCAGAAAATGATAACTATTTTTGGCATGATTTTCATAAATTATGTTCCTAATTCTTTTGTTATATATGAAACAGAAGCTTCCAAGATTAATGAAATGCATTTCTTAAACTCATGAAATATCCCCACTGTGCCTCCCTCTTTCTCACTCCACTGAAGAATTCCCTCTTTTAAGGAAGTTGTTCACATTTCTTGTCAGTCATTTTTTAATACAGTACTGGTGCTTAAATTTCTCAAACTATTAAAATAATAGCAGGTTTAACATTTTTATCCATTTTATTGAAGTTTAGTATTTAATATTAGAATGTCTGCTTCTGTTTGGTCTGCTTTGAAAGTTTGTGAAGGATGGTTATACTACAGAGATTTAAATGCCATTTTTCCATGAGAGAAATACATTTTTCCTGGAAAGTGTCTTAGAGTCCCATTTTAAGAGAAGAAATTGCAAAATTGAAGTAGTGCATAAACCAGAGAAAATATTTATTTACAGACATGTAAAAATTATGTTACAACATTTTAAAGAAAACTGTAATGAATCATCAATCTGCTCTAATGGGCAAACTCTGAATGTTTAAAATCTAAATTGCAGTGGCACCAATTAAAAATAGGACTGCTAACAAGATTATAGTTATCTACATAGTTTAAGTGCAGTGATTTTTCAGAACTAAAAATGGCTCTACAGAGAAAACGAATAGGAATTGCAATAATATGTAATACAAGAGTTTACAAAAGTAAAAATATTTTTTCTTGATCCAAACTTTAAAGCTTTTTAGTAAATATTTTCCATTCATGCAGCTGCCCATGTTTGAAACAAATATCTGAAATACACAGAGCATATAGATCTGTGTAGAAAATGAATTTGGTTTGATTCAGGACTATCTGTAAAGGATTTTATGACTGTTGACTGTCCAAACTGATTGACATGATCCTTTATATTTCCTATTCTTCCATATTCCAAGGGATGAGCAATGTTGAAAAATCCCACAATTGACAAACTTATGACAAACAAGTAACAGGTGATGGCAAACAACACTGAGCATCCAGCATACATGGACAGCAGAGAACTATTAAGCTCTGTCAAAGCTACCAGCATCCTCTGGAGTGATTTTAAGCAAACATGCCATTGAGAAACCTTACTAGTAATAGGCTGCATGGGGTAACAATCTTGCAAATGAAATAGTGCCTCATGGTGTTACCAGAGGTAACTTTTGTGTTCAAAATATACTCAGGACTTAAACTGTGATGTGAAACAGTGACAACATTATGAATGTGCAATTATTTCTGTGAGTTCATACTGTAAGGGGAATGATTGTAAAGAATGTGTAAAAGTCTCAGTGTTTTCTGTGAGTGTTAGCTTATTTGGAATGGAGGTGGTAAAGAGACAATATACCTAGATGTTTCTCATATCTAGTTTATTAACACCAATATCAGAACTGATCTCCTTGGATGATTTTCTGCATCTTTTAAGTCAGCCAACAGTTTATGGAGATCGTTTTGTTGTTTGTTTTTTTTTAACTATCAGCCAAAGACAGAAATTCCAAAATGGCAATTACTTTTGCATCTTTACAGTTAAAAATGTTCATAACCTATATTAAGAGACAGAAAGTGGAGTATTTCATTCTCTGATTTGACCTAACATTTCACTGGAGTAATATCTTTTTGCTGCAATGTTCTAGGAGAGTCAGCCCTGATAAATTCTGAAGCTGCAGTTCTTTATGCTCAGGTGTAACTACTTATACTAGTCTTTCCTTATTTAAGGAGCTGGGTACTACTCAGCACTTACGTAAAACCATGTAACTCCACACACAATAGACAAACTAAATATAAGGTACACAAATGTAACTGAGAGTGCAATGTCACATAGCTACCTAGTGAAAAAGGTTCTCACTCATTAATAGACAATTAAATTAAAATGTATGCTTTTCTTCCAAGTTTTTGAAAAATATCAGTCCTTCTATATTGATGGTCCCCATGCCAGAAACCTGACCCGAGACCTTGAGCTCCCACCCACTTACACCCACACTACTTGAGGTGAACCTGTCATCTCATAAACTGCTTTTTGAAACAAAAATATAAAGTTAGATCTTTTAAAAAGAATGTTTGAAAGAGCAAGGCAAAAGTGCAACTTGGTAGTCCTGGATGATCTGAAATAGTAAGTAGCCTGGTCATGGAGCTCAGTGGTCAGGGCTCAATGCTGCAGACTGGGTCTGTGCTCCATTTGACTTTGTAAGATACTTCCTTAATTAATGCCTCTGCCTCTTGGGAGGCTGAAGCTAATAAATAATTTATTTACCCTGCAATCACTTTAAAGTCATGTCTCTTTCTATATGATTACCACTCGCTTAAAGATATAGATGAATAAATACATATTCCTTGTTTCATGTAATCTGCAATGCTAAAGAGGTCTGACTTTGGGATGGTGAAAAACTTGGTATTTTTCTAGGGGAAGAAGTCCTTGTGCTTATGCTTTTTTACCTTTAATATCTCAGTAACACAAGAGAAATAATGCATCCATTCTGTTTGAAAGGAAATATGATTTATTAAGAAATTCTATACTGAGATTCCCCCTACAACATCTGTAGTAATTAATTATTCCAATTTCAGGCTTTCAGGAGGGCCTTAGGAGTTTGTGGGTGGAAAGACTACTGCCAGAAAATAACCCAAAAAGTAATAAGTAGGCTATCTCAGGCTGTCAGATATTGGCAGGCTATAAGTAATTTTCCTGGCTAGACAGCAGGCTGACTGGCTTTCCATATGGTAGGAACAAACTGCCTTTAGAGATTTGCAAGAACAGCTATAAGAACTGTCTGATGAATGGCATCACAGAGAGGGCTTATCTGAAGAAGGGGATTTACATGAGGATGCAATTTACAGTTTATCAAGGACTTCTCTCTTATTTTCCATTCACTTTTTAGAAGGTATTCTATTACCAAATGTAATTATTTTCAATGACAAATAAATTGAATAAAGTAATGGGAAATACCATACAATGTATTTAATTGTGGCATTGATCAAAATGGTCTTATTTGAACTAAGCAGTAAACAAAGAAGTGCAATATCACCTGACTCTAAATATGGTAAAACAGTAAAATGTGCTAATCATAAAAATAGCTTTTAGAAATATACATTTGTATACAGTGTTTTCCACACCTGTTAAATACGTCCTTCATATTATTATGATACAGTACACTGGCCTTTAAGACATCAAAATTAAAAAAATAATACCAATAATTAGCCAGAGAAAACCACATTTACAATCTAAACCATAAAAATCTGACAATTGTACAGCTTAGAACATATAAGAAATGGAGTTTCTAATATCTGAACAATAATGTCCATTTTAATAAGTAAATTGAGTTTCATACAAATTGAATCAAAGGTGTTGTCAGCCAGTAAGAAACTGCAGTTCACAATTTTCTGTGAGGAAGTCAGAGTTTCTCTTCTCAGCCTTCAGGGGGTTCACACATGACATTTCATCACTTGATCTGTAGAAACTGAGAAATGAAATGTTTGCTTTAGTATGAAAGCATAGAATTTCTTCCAGGAGAACCTCAAAAAGAAACCAAAACAGCTGGGGAAAAGAGCCAAGAGGACTACGACTTGAATTTTTCACAAATCAAACAAATATAAATGTCTACAATGATTTCCCACCTTAAACCATCGAAGGTTAAAAGAAGAATAGTGTTCCTGCAGCAGTGGCCAATCCGGACTGTGCAACAGTCTTTACTTGACTGTACAGCCCAAAATAATAACAGCAAATCAAGCAAGAGCTATTGAAGCTGAAGTATATCTCCCCTCAATAATGCTAATGCACAAAACTGCTGAATAATTTGTATTTTAGCAACAGGGAATAGAATAATGTATATTGGCTGCTTTGCAATGAAATGCTTTATTTGCATAATAACATTCAATCTAAAATAAATTGCATGTAGAATTCTTTGCTTCAGCCCCATCACACTATTTTTATACCTTACTCCATTTCCATTGGTTGTGTGCTTTCAGCAATGCCTATAGTTACCAGATTGATGGATTTTTCCTCAGTTTCTTCCCTTTTACTTTGCCTATTTTGCTAGTGTTTTTGTGTACCTGCCATAGGATATAACAGTATATCCTTTGATTTCTTTTGTTGCTTTATCAGCCACACTGTGAAAATGCAAAAATCCAGCGTTAGCCAACACTTTTGGGGTTCATTCTTTCAGCAGAAGCTGGAGGCAGTTTACATCTAAATATTTGAGTCTTGCTATGTGACCCATTAATGCTACCAGCTTCAAGTAGGCATTGAGTGATGCTGCAGGGGGGCATAAGGCACACCAGCTCCACCTACCCACAGGGAAACTGACAGCACTCTCCTAATCACATCTGTTTGGAAAACCGACAGAAAATGTTAGCTGATGTAGATGGTTTCTTTTTTTAAAGTGAAACTTTCAAGGTTTTTTTTTTTAATTTTGACAGGAAAAATATCTTTCAGCCAATCTTTTCTGCACTTTTTTTTTTTTTTTTTTTTTTTTTTTTTTTTTTTTGTGTTTGGGAGGGAGTGGGGTGGAGTCTATCTTGTTTTATAACTGAAAAAGGAAACAGCTGATGAAACCTGGTGCACTTCTGATCAAAGGCTGAAAATCTTCCAGATGTTTCAGCCAATTTTCTCTTCCTTCAATGAAAAAAAAAGAAAGAAAAAGAAAAAAAAATATCTGTTAAAGTTTCCATTTATTGAAAACCTGGTTTTCCAGAAACATCCAAGTCACTGTAGGACTGTGCTCCTAACCTTTGAAGAAGTCAGGCATCAGATTTCCCCTTCACTGGAAAGAAGGCACCAGGTGTGTGGTTGTGTCTTCACAGGTAACCAGGATTAGGGAGAAAAGCTCATGTGAGAGGCCCCAGAATTTTCTTCTTTAAGTTAAATCATCCAGAAACTATTATTCTCTACTTGCACAGAGAAAAATCTTCATCTCTTATGTTTTAGGTCTGATCTCTAGAGAGACTAGCTATAATAAAAAAGACCTTTAAACTCACCCCTTAAGTCTGAGAGAGGCTTAATGGTTTTTAACTAGCTATTCATCTTAGAAAGAGTGAAAATAAAAATTCCACTGTACATCCTATTAGCTCCAAAGAGAGTTCCTCTTTTTTATCCTCAAGAAGCAACAATTACGAAAGCAATAAGAGGCAGATTTTCAAGTTATTTATCAAAGCTTTTTTCCCTTGCCATAAACCTTTCAAGCCCTTACCTGTCACAGCACTAAAGAGCATCATTAGGTTACTATTGTGAACCATTAATGTTGCTACCCATCTGGACCCAAGTCATCAATGCAGCTTTGCTGTTGGTTGGAAACAGTGATAAAAATTTAGCAACCCCACCAGTCCAAAATATTCCTGTGTTCTTCCTTCAATACATGCATTTCTTATTTCCTTCTCACTACAAGTAATGGTACAGTTTGAGAGGAAACATTAAAATCTGGAAGAGTCAAACATTTATTTTGCCTGTAATGACAGGAATCCAGGGCTATGCTAATTTCATTCTATTTCTTTCTTCTGAATAGTGTGCAGTTTATCATCTGCCTTTATGGCAGTGCTGATGATATTAAAAAGCCCTCATGATGACTAGTGGGTTTTTAACATTTTTTTCATTTCTTTCCCCTTATATATTAAAACATCTCCTGACACAACAAGGATGAACTGAATTATGTTAAAGCCAGCAATAAGACTTTCATTTGATGTAATTCTAACAGAAAACCACTTTAGAAAGTATGATTTGAACATAATGCATTTTAGGAATTTAATAACTCAACTGAGCATATAGACTTGGCATCCATAGACAATTCTATACACTGTCCTAATTACCATCATAATCTCTGAAAAAAAAAGATGGAGAGAGTTTATGGAATATTTATTGGTTCATTTTCCACCTGAAATTATTTTTTCTTTTTTCACTATTGGATATCTTTTTGAGCATGAGTTGTTGGAAACACTCTTCTTAGACATAACAGTGTATTTCAGTCTTCCAAAAATGCTATTGCTACTGTTATTATAGTTCTAGTATAATGCTTCTGGCAATTTTTTCCAAGTTCAAATTCTACTACATTAAATTAATTTTAACCATACACTATTACTTTTTATATAACATTGGAAAGCCAACATTAAATAGTTTCTTTCTCACAGGGTTTATGGGAAGAGCTTTCTGGACTTTACCATGCTTATCTTCCAGTCCTAAATGTACAGGAATAAATCTTACTGTATGAGAGTGTAAATTCTACATATGTTTTTGGGAGGCAGTATTAGGAACGTGCTATGAGTAAATACCACATAAGATGTACATGATTAACATCGTACCTTGTTTAAGCAAATGCTTAAAGTCTCACAGAATATAGTTGTTACAGACTTCACCATATAGTTTACCCCACAATAATTATAACCAAGAAGAGCATCCAAAATACATGAAAGACATTCATGTGAAAAAATGCATCTGTTTTTAAAAAATCCTTTGCTCTGAATGGCTTTTATGATAGCATTAATCCTAGAAACCCTCAGAAAATGCAGCTAAAAGGAGGATGGATAGATGATGGTTCACATACACATGTGAACTTGAAACCCAGAGCCTCAAGTATCCTTCCTCTTACTCTCCTGTGTCTTTTTCCTTGCCAGACAAACCCATTCTCAGGACTGGAATTTTCATTTTAGTAACTGTAATGGAGACATCTGAAGCTACTGCTGACCCTTGCTTGGTAAAATTGCACATCTGTCTCTTGCAGGCTCCTCTTGAGTAGGAGACTTGATGCTTGACACCTTTCTAGGTTTCTGCTGGTGTCTGACGATGCTTTGACAGAAGGTTATGTGACTGCTCTACATCACTTTCTCCAAAACATCAGCAAGCTCCATTAAAATGCAGCAGGTACACTGTCCTTTCTCTCCCAACTCTGTCCCTCATACTTGTGCTACATCAAACTGCAATTGTAGCACAACTGCTTTCATTACATCTGATGCTCACTGCTGTTATCTGTACAATGAGAATTCTGACTCCAGGTCTACAGATGCTCTCTTATGTCCTCGAGGATAGCATACTCTATTCCATCTCTAATAATTTCTTTTGATTATGAAATGCACTTTCTGGACCACCAAAGAGATGAAAAATGGAAACTGTCTGCAGAGCAGGTATTTAAAAAAAAGCAAAACAAACACAAAAAAATAGCCAGAACTTAGTGGGCCATTATTGATCTAGATATTTACGTAAAATGAGAAAAATCATAATGCAGTACAGAAAGTAGTAATGCAAATTGCCATTCTGTTTATCTGCTGTCTGGCTCAAGACAATATCCTCCTTTTCTCTTAAGCAGGCACTCACACTGAGTGTAAAGCACTGTAATTTATATTTGTAAGGTACCATGAGGACATGCACTTTTGTTGGCTTTTACACAGCATGATGATAAAGACATTATCAGTGGAAAACCACAAGGAAGAAGCAGAGCTTACCAAGGAACATTGAATTTGTATTTGCTGTCAAATTGACTTCACAGCTGTGTTCATTTGAAGTACACCTTACACTTTGTCCCTTGATTTAAAGCCTCAAATCTCTAACTCAGTAACAGTCATAGAGGTGGTTTAGTTTAATGCCCCCATATGAAATGTAAATGCTCAGTTCAGTAGGTGTGAGCAGGGGAACGTGAATGTGTATCACACTTTTGCTGCTTTCAGTTGTAACCCTTGTAAAGCATGAAAAACAAAATGATGGCAGTAAAGCAAAATTTTTTTGCAATGAACTAGTGATAGAATATTAACTGCATTTAACAAATAAAGGGATTGTACAGTTTGATAAATATTAATAAAGGATAAACAAAAGAACTGCTTGCACCTTCTTTAAACCTTTCTTCAAATGACGAAACCTAATCATTCTGTTTTGGACTCTGCCAATCATACTTTAATTGCTAAACATTACAGAATCGTTTTTCTGTTCAGTGAACAGCTTAATTGCTTTGAAGTGCTAGTATTTATGTGAGTACATGTGAGAATGATTGTTTTAGTCATCAGTGAAAATAAACTTCAATCTTCTCTGTATTAAAATGCTCTGTTTCACTTGTTTGTCCAATAAAAATCAGCAGGAAGAATAAGATAGCCCTATCAGATACTGATTTTTCCCCTAGACCATTATATCTTTTCTTTCACACAGTCCAGGCAGAATTGTGATAAGTGCTTTTGGGTGTAGTGGTGGAGACAGGATCCAATATTTGGAGAGTGCTTGCGAGGACACTGCAGTTGAGATGATGGTCAGGTATAAGACTGAAGAAATGACTTTGAGTCACCATGGCCATTTGAGAGCTTGAGTGGGGCCAGGAAGAAAAAAAGTGAATCTACCACTTTATTTAGGCTGTGTGTTTTTCTCCTGCTAGACTGCTTTTGGAGCAAAATCTTCCTCTGCAAGGTCCTTTATAGTAACAGGAGAAGACTTAGGGGCTAGTAGTGCAGTTTCTGTTGACAGTGGGAGGGATCTGAAGCTGGAGGCACTGGG